TAGATCCTATAGGTTTAGCAAGTAAGATGAAGTTAGCTAAACTCTAGATCCTATAGTTTTAGTAAGATGAAGTAGTTAAACTCTAGAACTTTTATAGCCTTGTCACCTTTGTCACCCAACCGTTTCATGACAATTCCAAACCAAGGAAACTTTCACAAAGAATATATAAGGAAACACAAAGCAACTGATCAGTGACCACTCGCCTCAAATTTTGATTTTCTAACTCAAATATCTTTGACTTGCAAGCTAATAATGTAGAAACCTTTGATATTTCAAACTGTGACTATTTTATGTGGCAGAATTTATAGTTGGAAATATTAAAATTATGTCATCATTTAGAGTTTAAAGCGAGTAATTAATTCCTTTGTACAGAAGACGCAAATTTTTCTACATTAAAAGCAAGACGATGCCATTGCCCAGTGCTTTTCGTACATGACGCATTTCAGCACTGGGTTCATTTGCAATCCCTGTATGGCGTATGCCCTTTGTGAAACTTTCACACATGCCTGAATAACGGAGAAATACACAGTTCATTCCACTTCCTCTACTCTACCTTCCTCTCTCTAGATTCAAGACTGAAATTAATCAAATATTTTCAACATCTTTCCTGTTCTTAAATGTTCAGGTTGATTATCATCACTAATACTGGGTGAGGTTGGTTCTCTTTTATACTTTAAACGTTTAGTACACGGTTTAAATGTTAAACAGTAATGAACGACATGTAGTTTTCCAAACCATAGAGTATCAAGGTTTACAGAAGTCCCGGCTTTAAATATATTCTTCAGTTATTTTGTTGACTTTTTAACAACGTAAATGTATAAAATCATACATATATTTTGGTTTCATTCAAGATATATTCTACTCCGTTCCTCCCTTTTCCGTCACACATTCTGGTCTGTATTCAAGGTTGATAATTTTCCAGGATAGGATTCCACGTAAATACATCAAAATTTTCCTTCGCGCCAAAATATTTGAATACAACCGCGACTGCATTTATTATAACACTTCCTTAACCTAACCCCATTGTAAATATTAATAGTGCATTGTTTAAAAACTCATTTCTCAACCATTGCACATAGATTTGTTACCAATAAGCAATATGGCGTAGTTTGTTAAGTTGATGAAAAGGCTTGTAATCTGGGTTGACAAAGAACTTCCTTGAAGTGCCCCCCCACCCCTCGCTCCAACACGGCTATCATTCCTATCAATATATAAATTTGGTGTTAGGACATTTTATTGCTCAGAATTTTATCTTTGATAATCATTTATTTCCAGGAATAAATATTTCTAATAATTTATTTTTTTAAACCCTGCTTATCACCATGAGTTTGCATTTTTCGTTCGTTTTCTATTCAGCTGTATTAAGTGTCAAGGAAATTTTGTTTAAACAGTTGTCAAATTCATACTAAAAAAACTATATGCTGCTCTGAGGGCTAAACTTTTGTGTAGGATATCTGACTTAGATTTTGGCTTAGTCGGACTTAATGGGATTGAAAAGGGAAAATGAAAGGGGGTATATTCAGCAAATACGCAACCAATCTGAAAACTACGATATCCCGGAGGAGCCTAAAAACCTTAGGTTTGCTCCTATTATTATTTGAATTCAATAATATTAGAAGCAAATCTGAATTTTACATGTTCCTCTGGGATATTTTAGTTTTCAGATTGGTTGCGTATTTGCTGAATATGATCTGTTTTAAACTTAGATTATTATACCAAATCTGAAATAGATAGATAGTTTTTGGTATAATTTTGACACAGTTTTATATCAATTTCTCGAGACAGGAACATCTCTGTGATAACCTATACCCCCTTTCATTTTTCCTTTACAGTCCCTTTGAGACTAAAAAATTTCGCTCTCTTTTTAAATCGATCTCAAGTACATTCTCAGACAACCAGCAATTCAAAATTACCAAGTATTAAAGTTTTTGTCGAGTTGCAGTTTTAAACTTGTGAGAGAAAAAAATTCTATGGCAAATTAATAGTGGAATTTCCTTTTCCTAGCCATAAGTTCAAAGTTGGTCCCAATTGGTTAGTCATTTATTTTGAACCAATACAAACACAGTATGGATTTGAGAGATTTATATTTTCTCACAATTTTTGTTAATGATGATAATATAAAATTTTTGTGCTAGGAGCTGAGAAGAAAATTGAACCCGTACACGGGAGGGAAAGCTCTGCTTAAACCTGCCTTTGTATCCACCTACCCGGAGAACATGTTTACCCACCTACCCGGAGAACAAGAACAATACCAATGATTAATGAAAGATATGGGAGGATATAATCTCTATTTTCTCATCTAATATTTATATATTTTCTAGGTGTAGAATTTTAACTACGTAGAATAATACATAACGATGTCTCCATTTTGGAAATGAAAACTCGTCAAAAACCGGGATTTCTTTCAGCAGATAATATCAGAATTAATATTTATTTCTGCTTGAACAGTGTCAGGGAGATTTTTGGGTTGCTAATGCAGCTCTCAAATCCGCAATAATAAGTATTTGAGATTAATCTGAAATTCTCCGACATGAAATGTTATGAATATTCACGTAGTTCTGAAGTATTTACTAATAAGCAATATTCCAAATTATTGATAAAAATTTTCACGCATTTATTTTGTGATTATGCACTTTTAAATATAGTTATTTGCATAAACCGAGTAGATAAATATATTCGTTATTTATTAATTAGTTTGGTTTTAATAGACTGCAGTGAAAAATATGTCCGCTTTTAACTGATCATAAACAGAAATTTTATTTGAAGAAATTTTAACATCTTGTTCGATCTATCTAATTTTGTTTTCTTTTAATTGAACAGATTTACAGGGTGTCCCTGCATCATATAAAGCTCTAAATTGGGATCTTCGGGACATATTTGAAAATTTAAAAAAGATGAATTATTTCGATGAATTGTACAATGCTTTTATAAAAATATGCAGAAAATGTTAGACGCAGTACATGCGTATTTTTGGCGGTAAAGCTTGGAGAATGGATATAATCTAATATTATATGGGACGCTCTGTAAATTATCTGTATATTGTTGTTTACTTCTGAAGAAAAAGAACGGTTTTATTAATCCTACGTGTGCTATTTTAGTTTTCAATATAGATGCGTAATTTATTAATTAAAAATATCCCTGCAGGGTGTAAATATGAAATATTGAAGAAGAATTAAAATAATCCGTCAGCGTAGGGTGAAGATCAGCAAATTTAAGTTTTGACTTAAACTGAAAAAAATTTCTCCTTAATAGCAAACACCTGTTTGAAGAGATTTATTAGATCTACAGGGTGTCCCATATCATATTAGATCTACAGGGTGTCCCATATCATATTAGATCGTCCAAAGGTCTAAATCACATTTTCCGGGACTAATCAGAAAATTTAAGAAGAAGAAATCATTTTGAAAAATTGAATAAGGCAAATATAAAAATTTTCTTGCAGGACATTCTATGTTTTTTTAAAATTGTATGTTTAATTTGGCGTTAAAGCTTTGAGATAATCAAATATGATATGGGACGCTCTGTACGTTCTACATTATGAATTACCTACCATTAGTTTGAGAAATTTAGTACAGTAAGAACCAGAACCTCTAGGATAGAAAGACGATTTTGAAAAGTCTATTGAACATGTGACACAGAAATTGTAAGGATACTAGTAAAACTACAGGGTGTCCCACGAAACATGACAGTTGGTCAATTTAGTTTAGAATGTCTTTTTCCATAATTTGTTTAGTTGTTTTATACCAAAGATCAATAAAAATATTATATGGGAGTCATGTTATATTAAAATTTCAAAGTAAAAGAAATGAAGCAAAAGGATGTTTTAACTAAAAATAACGATTTTTTAAATGTCATGTTTCGTGGGACACCCTGTATTTGCTTTTAAAGAACACCAAATACACTGAACTGTTGCTTTAATGTCGTCTTCTTAGTCCATATTTTTCCCTGGGTGCTCATTGTACAACATAGAATTTAGTTTTTTAAGAATAAATTTCTACCATGTTTAAAAAGCCCCCACCCCTATAAAATATATTACTTAGAACCACTTGAACAATTTTTATTATATCAAATTATTACCTTCAGCATAAATATTGTTTGAATAATTTCCATAGAGCTGGAAGCAATGAGGGTAGGAGTTAACTGCGTAGTTCAATATTTAAACAAGATAAATTATTTATATCACCCAACTTCACATTAGTATTTGACTTTCCCTTGTAAGCTCTGATACTTTGTTACAATGGTTGGGGTACTCAATTATTAAATATTCAAATATTGGCCTGAAAATAGGGTCGCACATCACAGAAATTCCAAATTGATTTACCAAAATTTTACGTTTTCCATTTAATTTATAAACTTTTAAGTTTAAAAAGTCACACAACTATTACAATATATTGATATATATTGGGTGAATTAACGAGGTTATAGTGTATAGAGTGATGCTGTACGCAGGGCCTTTACTAATTTTATAGGCCATAAACTATACCGAGTCCCGAGAGCGTACTGCATATTTGTTTATTATAAGTTGATTCTGGCCTAACCTATAGTTTATCAATTTAAGTAAACAGTTGTAAGTGTACAGTACAGCTAACTGAGCACACAGGTAGAAAATCATCATCCCCTAGGTGTCGCTTTAAGTGACCGATTCACAATGGTGCCTTTTAATCCCTTTTCTCCAGAAAAAAATGACAAAGATCTTGCCGTTTATAATCTATAAGTTCATAAACTTCAATCAAAGTTTCTCTCTATAATGTGATTGGCGGATTAATGCGACGGAGAAGGAATAAAATTAGCTAGCAGAATTCATCACGTTTCAAATAGATAAACAAACAAAAAAAGATCAACCATCATTCCGTGGAAATCAAGGCCGAGACCCCATCAAAAATAACCACCAAAGGATGGAAATTAATGTATATCCGATTATGACATAAGTCTAGTGTGATCGAGACATCGAGGTATAGGCCAGTGACAGATGTCACCTCCCCACTGCACACAAACATCGCCTGGACTATTGCATTTCGCTTCATAAGTCCAGTATCATTATGCTAAATTTATTTCTAATATTATTGATTATTTGATGAATTAGAGCTGGTTAAATAAATTTATTACCTACAACAGGAGATTACGATCCTCATGGCGGGCCGTCAACCAGGTCTCAACCAAGATTGCAAGGCTCCTCCCTCTCCCAAGTAGGTCATTTTTATTTGCCCCATCCCCTCCAAGGTAAGCCCTGAGCACTAATCTGATTGAGTCAACACCCCTTCCCAATTCATTATTGAGGAACTCTGAAATGCCAAAGCTCCTACGCTGAGCTGATACACATGGGCATTTAAAAACCACATGAGCTTCACTAAGCTTTACCTGAACCCCCCTGTCCATGCACCACGGACACCAGACATGAGTGCACCCATACCTGTCCTTGTATCTATTACCTAGCTGAGCGTTCCCAGCCCTAAACCTACACAAAGCTTTACTAGCTTTAGAATCATTTACATGGGATTGCAGCTTAAACCAACTACCTGGTTGGGAAGCGGCCTTCAGAGTAGAATGCTCTCGTTTGATGGTAAGGACATGAGTTACAGCCCTATCCACTAGAGCATTATGCAACAGTTTTTTAGAGGTATAATTTGAGATAGTCCCAATGTCCTTTTGAATCTTAAGCCATGATTTAACCCAGGGCTCATCAGGATATTTGAGTACCTCCCTTAAGACCGACATCAAAGCGGTGTTCCCTTTAGACTTAATCACACTCCAGATATACATTGCTTGCCTGGTTTGGATCCTGAAGGCCATTGGCATCAGTCCTGCATCCATCCAGGCCAAGACTCTGGATGTTGAAGCAGGAACTTGTAGGATAAACCTACCCACTATATTCTGAATCCGATCCAATTCCTGGATTGTACCCATCTTGATCGAAACCGCCTCAACACAGTACAATATATGTATAAGAATTCGTTTTGGAAATCATACCTAGGATTCTTTCAATTTAATTAACTCACATAAAAATAATTATATTTTAGAGATTGCAAAGCTATATTTATTTAATATATTTACTATGTATTAGGACAGTTTAGAACGTACATATAATGACTAGAGGTTTTGAGCCCATATATATTTATATGAGGATTAGTTAGGTATACTGGGGGCACAGTGTACACGTGTAAAGTACAGTTTCTAGGTGGAGCTGAGACTTAGCGTAGTTCACTAACGAACTATGAGATCAATGAAGAAAATATCACAAAGTTCAAACAAGTTTTAACAGAAGAGAAAACAGGTTTGAAACATTTTTTGTCATGACGCGCAACAGCGACGATTACAAGGTGGGGTTTACGATGTACATCTGTACATAATACCTAGTAGTTTGTTTGTACTCTGTGCCCCCCAGCCTAGGTTCCCGGACCCGAATTACATTAATTATTAGGTTTTCTGTTCTTCGCCCGAGACAAAGATTTGTTCCTGAAAAAAAACATCATCGTATTATTTTGGTATTTAAGCAATTAATTTTATCTTATTTTATTTGTAGAAAAACAGGACTACACTTATGTAAAAGTAATGCAGTGTAAAAACTGAATTGTGATGACAAAAAAAACTTTTTTAGTTCCTTCAAACTAATGAAGTTAAAAGAAAGAAAGTATACCTGTGAAAAGGAGCATTCTCTTGTTCTTGAGCAAGTGTTGCATCAAGAGTAGAGAGTATCCAGCCCAGTACACCAAGAACCAAACAAACTATTCACAAAGTAAAAATAGTTTTAATAAACTTTGTAAAATTACAACGCTTACAGAGACTGAAAAGTTATATTTAAGTGGCCCTCCGTGCAGAGATGGCTTAGTGCCGGATTTAAACCTTTATCTGCAGAGGCGGCTTATAAATAGGAGCGCAAGAAGAGAGAGCAGACACCTTCTTGTCCAATGATTTTAAAGAATATATTTATACAAAAATTTGCCTCCGACGCCACTTTTTCACTCAAAATGAAGATTTTTTATGAAGTTACAAATCTTGACATCAAATTGACCAAATTCCCTGTAAAAATAATTATTCCCCCCCCCCCCTCCCCGGGAAATATCATAAGTCGCCCTTGTTTATTTGGCCAATAGTGTGGAAGAAATTGTCGTTGTTCTTAGTTTAAAAGCTTTCAACTCTGATTTTTTTCTGCAATAGAAATGCGTAAGTCACTTTTGTGGGAAAACCACAATTAAAAATAATTAAGTTATAACATTGATATATAATTCATACTTGATCAGACAAAGCTTTTAAGGAAACCGTTGTGAATCGGGCATTGTCAACTTTGCAAGGAGGATATAATGTAGTAATTAAACAAAACATAAGAAAATAGATAGATAATTACATTTGGGTATAAATGTGGTTTCAGAAGCACGTCTTGGAATTTATTATTATTTCTTTTTTCTGCTAAATTGTAACAAATAATCTTATATATATATTATTCTGTTCGTTCGTTAAAAATTGGATTATACAAGAGGAAAATTGAAAACTGACCTATTATAAGCATTGTATATACATGAACTGTAGAATCAGGCGAGGATTCCATCTCTTTAAGAATAAGAAGAGCAGGTTGATGATTTGGTCGTAGCTCCAGTACATGGCGGAGATGAAGAGCAGCTTCTTGAAAATGTCCGTAGGCTTTCAATATTTCTCCCAGCTAGAACAAATATTGTTAAACTAAGAAATAACGCAACTGTAATCGGTCTAATATATTTTTGTAAAATAACAACCCCTCCCTCCCCATTTCTAGATTTCTCTCTTGAAGTTGCATTATGACTGTTTAAATTAATGAATTTCCCAAGATTAAGTTGATGTTCCCTTAACGTTCTACAAGAAAAAGGTAACATTTATACATCTTTCCATCGGCCTGACTTTCATACTTTTAAAAAAACATTTCTAAGTATCAAAATATTTGAAAAATAATTCCCCTCAAGTAAATTCAGGGGTGTATATATTTAAAAATTATTATTAAATTAAATTAAATTATTATGGGAAGGGGGGAAGTTTGACTCAAAGATGCAAGTTTTTACATTTTTAATACTTTTAACGAATATTTTTTTCCTCATTCTTTTTCCCCAATTAAGCGAATACTTCTGGGGAGAAAAAAAATTATTATGAAGGGGATGATTTTTCCGGGAAATATATACCCCTGCCTGTGAATTTGCTTCCTACCTGAAAATGTTGTTGCCAGGCACTTTGATCATGAGGTTGAACTTCCAAAGATCTCCGGGTCAAAAATATTGCGTCGTCCAAGTACTGGAGGTTAAAAAGTACACGGGCAAGGTTTAAAAGAATTTCTGCATTATTCGGTGAGACCGCCAAAGCTCGTCTAAAGCACTCAATGGAGGCCTGAGTATCTCCTCTAATTCGCCAAAAATTTGCAATTTGATTGTAAATCTCAACAGATTTAGGCTTTTCTCGCTTCGATTTCTTCAATCTTCGCTCGATTGCATCAATATCTATATCTCCTCCTTTCTTATTCTTTTTCTTGAATAAATTTGCAACCTAAGAAAAAAAACAATTGTCAAAACTTAGAACAAACAATTCAGTGGAAAAAATCCAGAAAGATAATTTCAACTTTTAAAGACAATCAACCGAACTGAATGAGATTTTATAAATCAATTTCCTTACTTGTCTTTATTGCATAAATTAACAAATTACTTATATAGACTTTAATAAAATATCAAAAAATCGGAGTGAAGGCAAGGATATCTCCATCACAAGAATTATAAAGATAAGAATGTGAATATAACTTTTTAAATGGAGGGTCCCTCGTAGAAACTGTCTCTATGCGAGTGTTTAATTTGTACCTCTGGTTCTGGGATATGAAGATGTGATGCTCTATTCTGAATCCCAACAAGATGATCGTAGTAGGTGAAGTTGACAGGTTTACCACAGTCTAGAACCTCGTCATCGTCATACGCATCCTCAGCTTCTACCAGGATACCACGGTTATTCCTAGACAATCAACAAACATCATTGATGATGATAATGATGATAACGATGATGACAAAAATTAGTATTAAAATGAGTTTGTTTATTTTGATAACAATGATCGTTACACTGTTGATGCAAACAACTAGCTACAATAACACTGATAATAAGATTATTAAAATGATAATGACGATAACAATACTAATTACGATGATAATAACAATGATGGTGACAATTGCTTCTATTATTCTGAAAAGGCGGGTAAAAAGGTAGATTACAATAATAAGTTGGTAACAATAATTATAGCAGTGATGTTTGGAACAATATAAAAAAAGATAACAATGTAAAAAGATTCTTTTTCAATTCTGTATCTTACCTTGCTGGATTATTTCTTTGACATTGACTTATTCCATAAAGCCTAGACGAATTAACCAAATAATTTGTTTAACTCTTTCATTATGTTTTAATAAATACATCAGTGATTGATATTTTCTTGTGCTTTTAAATACTTTATACTCAGTTATTCTACAGTTAGTCGTTCGACAATATACACTAAACACGCATGTCTTATACTTCTTGCTCCCCGAACTATTACGTAAAAATATGTTTTTATTCTCCATTTAAAAGCCATAGTGATAAAGATTTAGTGTAAGTTAGTGCTGATTTGTTTAGTTTACTGATAATTGCAACAAAAAGGGATATAAGCATTATTACAGAACTGTTCCTTTTCCCCTTTTAATCACTATATTTCTACTTTCATGGCGTGGACTAAATTAAAATTATTTAGTTTCCTGCAATAATTTTCAGCTGAAGTTTTCTTCCACATTCCTTCATTGTCCGTTACAGTAGAGAGTAGAATATCCATCATGAGTTCCTGAACAAAAATTTTAATATATTTTAGATTTTAATGAATAATTTTCACAAATATATAATAATAATAATAATAATATAATAATTATTATATTTTCTCATCTAATATTTATATATTTTCTAGGTGTAGAATTTTAACTACGTAGAATAATAAACTTTAGATCCTATAGGTTTAGCAAGTAAGATGAAGTTAGCTAAACTCTAGATCCTATAGTTTTAGTAAGATGAAGTAGTTAAACTCTAGAACTTTTATAGCCTTGTCACCTTTGTCACCCAACCGTTTCATGACAATTCCAAACCAAGGAAACTTTCACAAAGAATATATAAGGAAACACAAAGCAACTGATCAGTGACCACTCGCCTCAAATTTTGATTTTCTAACTCAAATATCTTTGACTTGCAAGCTAATAATGTAGAAACCTTTGATATTTCAAACTGTGACTATTTTATGTGGCAGAATTTATAGTTGGAAATATTAAAATTATGTCATCATTTAGAGTTTAAAGCGAGTAATTAATTCCTTTGTACAGAAGACGCAAATTTTTCTACATTAAAAGCAAGACGATGCCATTGCCCAGTGCTTTTCGTACATGACGCATTTCAGCACTGGGTTCATTTGCAATCCCTGTATGGCGTATGCCCTTTGTGAAACTTTCACACATGCCTGAATAACGGAGAAATACACAGTTCATTCCACTTCCTCTACTCTACCTTCCTCTCTCTAGATTCAAGACTGAAATTAATCAAATATTTTCAACATCTTTCCTGTTCTTAAATGTTCAGGTTGATTATCATCACTAATACTGGGTGAGGTTGGTTCTCTTTTATACTTTAAACGTTTAGTACACGGTTTAAATGTTAAACAGTAATGAACGACATGTAGTTTTCCAAACCATAGAGTATCAAGGTTTACAGAAGTCCCGGCTTTAAATATATTCTTCAGTTATTTTGTTGACTTTTTAACAACGTAAATGTATAAAATCATACATATATTTTGGTTTCATTCAAGATATATTCTACTCCGTTCCTCCCTTTTCCGTCACACATTCTGGTCTGTATTCAAGGTTGATAATTTTCCAGGATAGGATTCCACGTAAATACATCAAAATTTTCCTTCGCGCCAAAATATTTGAATACAACCGCGACTGCATTTATTATAACACTTCCTTAACCTAACCCCATTGTAAATATTAATAGTGCATTGTTTAAAAACTCATTTCTCAACCATTGCACATAGATTTGTTACCAATAAGCAATATGGCGTAGTTTGTTAAGTTGATGAAAAGGCTTGTAATCTGGGTTGACAAAGAACTTCCTTGAAGTGCCCCCCCACCCCTCGCTCCAACACGGCTATCATTCCTATCAATATATAAATTTGGTGTTAGGACATTTTATTGCTCAGAATTTTATCTTTGATAATCATTTATTTCCAGGAATAAATATTTCTAATAATTTATTTTTTTAAACCCTGCTTATCACCATGAGTTTGCATTTTTCGTTCGTTTTCTATTCAGCTGTATTAAGTGTCAAGGAAATTTTGTTTAAACAGTTGTCAAATTCATACTAAAAAAACTATATGCTGCTCTGAGGGCTAAACTTTTGTGTAGGATATCTGACTTAGATTTTGGCTTAGTCGGACTTAATGGGATTGAAAAGGGAAAATGAAAGGGGGTATATTCAGCAAATACGCAACCAATCTGAAAACTACGATATCCCGGAGGAGCCTAAAAACCTTAGGTTTGCTCCTATTATTATTTGAATTCAATAATATTAGAAGCAAATCTGAATTTTACATGTTCCTCTGGGATATTTTAGTTTTCAGATTGGTTGCGTATTTGCTGAATATGATCTGTTTTAAACTTAGATTATTATACCAAATCTGAAATAGATAGATAGTTTTTGGTATAATTTTGACACAGTTTTATATCAATTTCTCGAGACAGGAACATCTCTGTGATAACCTATACCCCCTTTCATTTTTCCTTTACAGTCCCTTTGAGACTAAAAAATTTCGCTCTCTTTTTAAATCGATCTCAAGTACATTCTCAGACAACCAGCAATTCAAAATTACCAAGTATTAAAGTTTTTGTCGAGTTGCAGTTTTAAACTTGTGAGAGAAAAAAATTCTATGGCAAATTAATAGTGGAATTTCCTTTTCCTAGCCATAAGTTCAAAGTTGGTCCCAATTGGTTAGTCATTTATTTTGAACCAATACAAACACAGTATGGATTTGAGAGATTTATATTTTCTCACAATTTTTGTTAATGATGATAATATAAAATTTTTGTGCTAGGAGCTGAGAAGAAAATTGAACCCGTACACGGGAGGGAAAGCTCTGCTTAAACCTGCCTTTGTATCCACCTACCCGGAGAACATGTTTACCCACCTACCCGGAGAACAAGAACAATACCAATGATTAATGAAAGATATGGGAGGATATAATCTCTATTTTCTCATCTAATATTTATATATTTTCTAGGTGTAGAATTTTAACTACGTAGAATAATACATAACGATGTCTCCATTTTGGAAATGAAAACTCGTCAAAAACCGGGATTTCTTTCAGCAGATAATATCAGAATTAATATTTATTTCTGCTTGAACAGTGTCAGGGAGATTTTTGGGTTGCTAATGCAGCTCTCAAATCCGCAATAATAAGTATTTGAGATTAATCTGAAATTCTCCGACATGAAATGTTATGAATATTCACGTAGTTCTGAAGTATTTACTAATAAGCAATATTCCAAATTATTGATAAAAATTTTCACGCATTTATTTTGTGATTATGCACTTTTAAATATAGTTATTTGCATAAACCGAGTAGATAAATATATTCGTTATTTATTAATTAGTTTGGTTTTAATAGACTGCAGTGAAAAATATGTCCGCTTTTAACTGATCATAAACAGAAATTTTATTTGAAGAAATTTTAACATCTTGTTCGATCTATCTAATTTTGTTTTCTTTTAATTGAACAGATTTACAGGGTGTCCCTGCATCATATAAAGCTCTAAATTGGGATCTTCGGGACATATTTGAAAATTTAAAAAAGATGAATTATTTCGATGAATTGTACAATGCTTTTATAAAAATATGCAGAAAATGTTAGACGCAGTACATGCGTATTTTTGGCGGTAAAGCTTGGAGAATGGATATAATCTAATATTATATGGGACGCTCTGTAAATTATCTGTATATTGTTGTTTACTTCTGAAGAAAAAGAACGGTTTTATTAATCCTACGTGTGCTATTTTAGTTTTCAATATAGATGCGTAATTTATTAATTAAAAATATCCCTGCAGGGTGTAAATATGAAATATTGAAGAAGAATTAAAATAATCCGTCAGCGTAGGGTGAAGATCAGCAAATTTAAGTTTTGACTTAAACTGAAAAAAATTTCTCCTTAATAGCAAACACCTGTTTGAAGAGATTTATTAGATCTACAGGGTGTCCCATATCATATTAGATCTACAGGGTGTCCCATATCATATTAGATCGTCCAAAGGTCTAAATCACATTTTCCGGGACTAATCAGAAAATTTAAGAAGAAGAAATCATTTTGAAAAATTGAATAAGGCAAATATAAAAATTTTCTTGCAGGACATTCTATGTTTTTTTAAAATTGTATGTTTAATTTGGCGTTAAAGCTTTGAGATAATCAAATATGATATGGGACGCTCTGTACGTTCTACATTATGAATTACCTACCATTAGTTTGAGAAATTTAGTACAGTAAGAACCAGAACCTCTAGGATAGAAAGACGATTTTGAAAAGTCTATTGAACATGTGACACAGAAATTGTAAGGATACTAGTAAAACTACAGGGTGTCCCACGAAACATGACAGTTGGTCAATTTAGTTTAGAATGTCTTTTTCCATAATTTGTTTAGTTGTTTTATACCAAAGATCAATAAAAATATTATATGGGAGTCATGTTATATTAAAATTTCAAAGTAAAAGAAATGAAGCAAAAGGATGTTTTAACTAAAAATAACGATTTTTTAAATGTCATGTTTCGTGGGACACCCTGTATTTGCTTTTAAAGAACACCAAATACACTGAACTGTTGCTTTAATGTCGTCTTCTTAGTCCATATTTTTCCCTGGGTGCTCATTGTACAACATAGAATTTAGTTTTTTAAGAATAAATTTCTACCATGTTTAAAAAGCCCCCACCCCTATAAAATATATTACTTAGAACCACTTGAACAATTTTTATTATATCAAATTATTACCTTCAGCATAAATATTGTTTGAATAATTTCCATAGAGCTGGAAGCAATGAGGGTAGGAGTTAACTGCGTAGTTCAATATTTAAACAAGATAAATTATTTATATCACCCAACTTCACATTAGTATTTGACTTTCCCTTGTAAGCTCTGATACTTTGTTACAATGGTTGGGGTACTCAATTATTAAATATTCAAATATTGGCCTGAAAATAGGGTCGCACATCACAGAAATTCCAAATTGATTTACCAAAATTTTACGTTTTCCATTTAATTTATAAACTTTTAAGTTTAAAAAGTCACACAACTATTACAATATATTGATATATATTGGGTGAATTAACGAGGTTATAGTGTATAGAGTGATGCTGTACGCAGGGCCTTTACTAATTTTATAGGCCATAAACTATACCGAGTCCCGAGAGCGTACTGCATATTTGTTTATTATAAGTTGATTCTGGCCTAACCTATAGTTTATCAATTTAAGTAAACAGTTGTAAGTGTACAGTACAGCTAACTGAGCACACAGGTAGAAAATCATCATCCCCTAGGTGTCGCTTTAAGTGACCGATTCACAATGGTGCCTTTTAATCCCTTTTCTCCAGAAAAAAATGACAAAGATCTTGCCGTTTATAATCTATAAGTTCATAAACTTCAATCAAAGTTTCTCTCTATAATGTGATTGGCGGATTAATGCGACGGAGAAGGAATAAAATTAGCTAGCAGAATTCATCACGTTTCAAATAGATAAACAAACAAAAAAAGATCAACC